GATATATTACACATGAATTTAATGAGTGTGACTCTCCACTTTTGAATAATTGAAAGTTATTTTTCAATGCAAGGAGTAGCAGTTAGAAATCACCAGTGAAATGGAATTCTACATCCTCACAATTTGTTATTGATTATGAAGAACATCACAAATTCACTTGCATAGTGCATATAACTAACCATTGGTTAATTAATGGTTCAAGTTTCGGGTCAAGCAACTGTTTGAATTATGGTATACCATCTAGGTTTTGTGTTGCGATCGGTCAGTGGTTCAAAACCAAGATAGCGTGACCAAATTGACCAGCAATGACACCTTTTGTAATGTGCACTACAACATTGAATAACAAGAAATACTAAGGTCGACTTGTAAAATTTTTGTTGTTTTTTTGTTGACAGAACAACACTTTGTATGAGTTTTTCTTGTATTCAAGAGTAGTAAAACATAATAACCTGTGGTCCAGTGTTTTTACACAGTTTGGGTTTACTTAACTCACAAATGCTACATGTAAATCGAAATCAACTGGTATTAAACAAGGTTTCATTGTGTTTACCTGCTGATTAATGTTCTAAATAAGAGCATGTTAGAATCTGTGAATACCCCTTTAAATAATTTTAAGAAAATCTATCAAAATTTACTTTCTTTCCTTATGTTTTGGTCAAAAGGATCGACGCCACATGCCCTAACTCCTGCCTTGCTCGATATATCAACGACTGCCACAAAAGACCCAACTCCATTATGAAGAAGTTCTCTCTCTCAGGAATGATACATCTCTGCTTGTATACTTTATCCAATATCAAAATTGGAGAAGAAATCAGGTACGACTATGGGATGCTGGATATGCCATGGCGACAGGTACCGGTATGTACCATTTCTTTCTAATTTGTATCTTATACTTAGACACATAGGCTATCCTTCATCTAATTCATCTTCATCTGTACGTAGCGACAGGTTTATACCATTAATTAGAATGGTCCTTATAATAATTGGGCAGTGTTATTATTAATGTCATGTTTAAGGATATTCCCTGAGTTGGACCACCTCTTAATGACATACATGTAGTAGATATGCCCAAGAAAACCTCATTTCCAAAATGTCAGTTATGCATTAGTGTGTGCATTACATTGCTCCATATCCTACAGCGTGTTTTCTCTCGGGTCCAAGAGAAACTCAAACATGGTGATGTTCTGTCGCTATAGAATTGTCAAAATTCTAATTGTCTATATAACTCTAAAAGTCTTGTTTTAGCTCATCCGGCCCAAAGGGCCCGATGAGCTTATGCCATGGCGTGGCGTCCGTCGTCCGTTCGTCCGTCCGTCTACAGTTTTCAAAATGCTTCTTCTTCGTTATTTTTCAACCGATTTTGATTCTGATTGTTTCATATGATAGGGCTAGGACGGGAATTTAAAAATTCGACACAGAATCGTCAAATTCATTATCTATGCTAATTTATGCAAATTGATTCGAAATCACAAAAAATGCTTCTTCTCCTTCATTTCTCGACCGATTTTGATTTGGTTTGCTTTATCTGGTAGAGCTAACTTTGGTACACTAAATTTCTACACAGAATTTTGAAATTGTTCTCCATTAATTAATTATGGTAATTTATGCAAATTTATTCCAAAAATAACAAAAATTGCTTCTCCCTCATTTCTTGACCGATTTTGATTTGGTTTGCCTTATTTGGTAGAGCTAAATTTGGAACACTAAAATTATACACAGAATTTTGAAATTGTTCTCCATTAATTAATTATGGTAATTTATGCAAATTTATTCCAAAAATAACAAAAATTGCTTCTCCTTCATATTTCGACCGATTTTGATTTGGTTTGCTTTATATCGTAGAGCTAACTTTGGTACACTAAACTTCTACACAGAATTTTGAAATTGTTCTCCATTAATATTTATGGTAATTTATGCAAATTTATTCCAAAAATAACAAAAATTGCTTCTTCTCCCTCATTTCTTGACCGATTTTGATTTGGTTTGCCAAATTTATTCCAAAAATAATTTAAAAATCACAAACCCTTCCAGGGCATCAAATTTTTATTTTTTGACCAGTTCAAAAGTGTACCACATAAAATTTATGATATTTGTTGTTGCGAGATGCGGATGAGCGCTACATCATTGACGTTCTGGTTATTGAATTTGCAACGTAATTAGCCAAAAATAATCTATAAACTTTTCACCTGACCCTCCCTGCAAGATATGTGATCAAAGCCCAAATGTCATGAAAAAGGGGAAAATGCGATGTACAATGTGAATTGTGAAACCTTTTTATAAAAACAAAATCTGTTGACACAAAAACCCTGATAGCACAAAGTAAATATCTGGCCGAACCATGTATTTTGTATGCAATTTTAAGTGGATAACACAAAATCCTTATAACACAAACAAAATATTGTGGTCCTACTGATTTTGTGTTAAAGAGGTTCCGCTCCGAGGTTCAGCTGTATCATGTTTACATGTCCTACCTTTGTATGATGCTGAATTATATTTCTTGGATTCTTGATATCTTGTAGTAATGCTTTATTATCCCCTCGCCGACAAAGTCGGAGGGGATATAGTAACGCTGCTGTCCGTCCGTCCTTCCTATAACAATTTTGGTTTCCAATCGATAACTTCAATCCTCTCTCTCTCACATGGTGCAACCGCAAGCCTACTGTATAACTTCAGTAATGTTTGACAGAATTTAATGAAATTTGATATCAAGGTACATGATATAAAATACAGGCTAAGTTCGATTTCGGCCAAGCAGATACTTCAAGTGCATTACAGATTTCAGAAGTAGGTGCACTTTATAATAGTGGTGGGCTATACAGGGGGTCAAAATCCTTAAGGTTTCTGCTCATTTAGAGGGCATATCATACCAAGCATTTCGACACCTTTCTTTAAAAAATCGGTTAAAAAATGAGAAGGTGCAAGCCAAAAACGACTTGCGAGGCCAAGGTGGGATAGGAGAGTACGTTAATTGACCCCGGGCTCAAGTAAATTCTATTTCTGCTCATTTTGATAATTTAAAAATCAATTTAAGATCTTTAGATGCCCTGTCTCATAGATTAGTGGTAAATAAAGGTACCTTGACAGTTAAAAATAAATGTCATGTTTTAGCTCGATTTTGTGTAAAAGAGATTCCACTGTACGACAAAAAATCAGTTTAAATATGTTAAAGGGGGGTGCCAACGTTCAAAGTGTGCAAAACATTATGCAAAGATCATGAAAGTACAATTTTTGGGGAAAGGAAAGAAGTCATAAGTTCCATATCTGACCTCAAATTTGACCAAAAGTGCTGCTCAATAGCTACGCAATTTATTGGTCAGAATTACCACAACTTGGTCAAAATTGTGGTCATTCTTACCTACCGTTAGTTTGTAGATTCTTCATCTTGATATTTTTATGTAAGTTTTTTTTTTTTTATTGTGACCAAAAGTGCCAAAATCTGCCTTTTGTCGCACTTTTTGGTTTAAAAAAAAATAAAACTTTTATTATCCCCTCGCCGACGAAGTCGGAGGGGATATAGTAACGCTGCCGTCCGTCCTTCCTTCCATGCGTGCGTCCGTCCGTGCGTGCGTCCGTTCGTAACAAATTTGGTTTCCGATCGATAACTTCAGTAATGTTTGACAAATTTTAATGGAATTTGATATGAAGGTACATGATATCAAAATACAGGCTAAGTTCGATTTCGGAGTATGTACCTAGGTCAAAGGTCATAGCTCATTAAATATGCAAATCTGGTTTCCATTCGATAACTTGAGTAATGTTTGACGAATTTTAATGAAATTTGATATGAAGGTTCATGGTATTAAAACAAAGTCTAAGTTCGATTTCGGAGTATGTAGGTCAAAGGTCATAGCTCATTAAATATGCAAATCTGGTTTCCATTCGATAACTTGAGTAATGTTTGACGGATTTTAATGAAATTTGATATGAAGGTACATGGTATCAAAATACATGTACAGCCTAATTTCGATTTCTGAGTATGTAGGTCAAAGGTGAAAGGTCATAGCTCATTAAATATGCAAAAACACCTACCGGTAATTATATATGTGAAAATCCTTGCCTAGAAATATAATAATATAGTCCAATGGAGGTAACTTGTTCTGACGTATATAGGCCATTTGTACCCTGCGAGGGATGCTACGCTTTGCGTTGACTTGTTTAAAAATGAATCTCATCTTACTACAGAATCAAAGTTTTATGTCTTTGATTGAGTTTGGAATTACACACCATGGATAGTGGCAATTGGCCATTGTAGTGGCATTCAAATTTAGCGATTTGTTAATATTACCAATTGATGTTCGAAAATGCATTTAAAAAAAATTGTGAATTGTCTTGCTCGCGAAATTGAAATGCATGCAAAACTTTTGCATATTATGGCTAATTCTTAATTTCTAAACTCATGAATTGTTTCCGTTTCCGATAATTTCAGGTGGGAGTTCTGGATGCTGCACCATCTGGCTCAAATGTTCACTGGACCGGTGATGACGACACTCCTGTCGCATCTGAACCATCTGGAGATGACAACACTCCTGTCGCATCTGAACCATCTGGAGATGACAACACTCCTGTCGCATCTGAACCATCTGGAGATGACGACACTCCTGTCGCATCTGAACCATCTGGAGATGACGACACTCCTGTCGCATCTGAACCATCTGGAGATGACAACACTCCTGTCGCATCTGAACCATCTGGAGATGACAACACTCCTGTCGCATCTGAACCATCTGGAGATGACGACACTCCTGTCGCATCTGAACCATCTGGAGATGACGACACTCCTGTCGCATCTGAACCATCTGGAGATGACGACACTCCTGTCGCATCTGAACCATCTGGAGATGACGACACTCCTGTCGCATCTGAACCATCTGGAGATGACGACACTCCTATCGCATCTGAACCATCTGGAGATGGCGACACTCCTGTCGCATCTGAACCATCTGGAGATGACGTCACTCCTGTCGCATCTGAACCATCTGGAGATGACAACACTCCTGTCGCATCTGAACCATCTGGAGATGACGACACTCCTGTCGCATCTGAACCATCTGGAGATGACGACACTCCTGTCGCATCTGAACCATCTGGAGATGATTCCGATAGTGATTATGAAGCCGAATCTGATCCAGAAGGTAGTAGCAGTGATGAGGCTGATTTCATTCCATTTCGGTTTGTACGTGGACGTCAAAGTAACTCTGTGGCAGTTTCTGTCAGTGATAATAAGGAGAGTGAAGCCATGCCTGTTGACCATTCAGTACCTAATACCTCACCTGCCCATGCCTCTGCAAGTGTTCAAAGTGCAAAAGTCTCAAGCTCCAGTTGCAGTATTAATGTGATGACCACTTCAAACAACAACTGTAGAAAGTGGGACAAACCTCAGTACTGTAAATTTTGTAGTCAACCACAAAAGAAACTGCCGAGGCATCTGCTTACACCACAACATGTCAACGAGACTGAGGTTCAGCAATGGATTGCAACTAAAGACATGAAAGAAAAGGCAAACTTGCTAGCTAAAATGAGAAATTACGGAAACTATCGTCACAATGTCAAAGTCCTTCAAGAAAATAAAGGTACCTTGATTGTTGCATACAGACCGAAATATGATGTGGATCCAGAAGAATATTTGCCATGTAGTCATTGTTATGCTTTCTATTCCAAGGATGATTTGTACAGGCATGTTCATAGATGTAAATTGCGACCAGATGTTGAGGATGAGGATGAGACCTGTGAACCACCCAAGAAGAAAAAAGAACCTTACATGTTCAAACTGGTAGAATGATGCTTCCAGGCCCATCAGGAGTAAGCCCAAAGGTGCACATGATATTATCAATGGGAGTCGATGATGATATATTGAGAGTTGTGAAATCAGATAGATTAATGCAGCAAGTAGCAGAGAGGCTGACATTGAAGCATGGGCATGACAAAGACCAGTATTCATATATACGGCAAAAATTGCGTGAACTTGCACGACTGGTTCGTGAGTACAGAAAATTGAATGATCACCCATCGGCTTCATTAGTAGATTTGATTTGTCCTACCAAATTTAATGAGGTCATAGCTGCAACTAGGAAGGCTGCAGGATTTAATGAGGATACACATTTGTACACAACACCTAGCCTGGCACTGAAAGTCGGATATACACTGGTGACGGCTGCCAAAGTCCTTATGGGAAATGCTCTGTTGCAAGCAGATGCTGGTTTGGAAAAGAAATGCAAACAGTTCATCAAATCATATACTCTCAAGTGGGAAGCAGAAGTAAGCACACATGCACTGCGTACATTAAAAGTAAACAAGAGAAATACATCAAGGCTGCTTCCTTTGACAACAGATGTTGTTGCACTGTCCAATTATGTGAGAAAAGAAACAAAAGAGGGAAAACAGAAGCTGAACAGCTGCAGTAGTGATGAGACCCTTGACAGATGGAAACAGTTGGCTGAGGTTACCCTGACCCAGGTGTGTGTTTTCAACAGGAAGCGTCCGGGAGAAGTTTCAAAGATGCCCCTCAGTGATTACAAGTGTATCACAAAAGGAGAAGGTGGAATATTTGGTGAAGGCCTAACCAAATGGGAAAAGGCGTTGTGCAATGTGGTATGGAGGGTGGAGATTAATGGGAAATGCAATAACACTGTACCCGTTTTGCTAACAGATGACATGAAAGGCAGCATTGACTTGTTGATGGAGAAAAGGTCACAAGTAGTCAATGATGGAAATCCCTACTTGTTTGCAAACCCCGATGGAAGAGGCCACTTGAGAGCAACTGATACAGTGCGAAATCATGCCCAAAAGTGTGGAGCAAAGTATCCAGATCAGCTTAGATTGACAAAACTCAGGAAGCACATTGCTATCAGCTCTCAGATCATGAATTTGAAGGATAATGAAGTGGACATTTTAGCCACCTTCATGGGCCATGACATAAGAACCCACAGAGCCTACTACCGCCTGCCAGATGCGTCACTGCAAGTAGCAAAGATTTCTAAAGTACTCTTCAGCATGGAGAAGGGAGACCTAAAGGCAATGGCAGGAAAGACGTTGGATGATGTTCGTGTAGATGCAGATGAAGGTATGACTATTTTTTATGTTTTGTGCTAGATAGAATGGCTGAGAATATGCCATACCATTTTCATTTCCTTCTACTTTTATCTGAAGTGATATCTGATTGGTTAGTGAGATCATAACGGTTTCTAGTTTGAGATTACATTAGGCCAGAAAACTTTTATGTTACATCTCAATCATTCATTTCACTCTCATACAACACAGTTTTTATATTGTATAATTTCCTTAGTTTTGTATGCTTGCTATATCCTTCAGTTTGTGAAGTTCCATGCTTTTGGTAAGCAAACTGGGATGTCTTCATTAGTACCTCCAGTTTTAATAAGAATTGATCCGAGATACAATATATGGGAAGCTGCCAACATTTCAAATACTTGAATATGTGATTTGATTTTTGTGTCGCCTTACTGAACGTTCATGGTGGCACATACTAATCCAAATTATCTATGTCCGTCTTTCCATTAACCGATTCGGTTAACGTTTTCGGTTAACCCTTCTAAAAATGCTCCGCAGGCTAAACGCTATGCTTGATTTACTCCAAAACTTGGTAGGATGATCCGCAGGTTAAACGCTATGCCCGATTTACTTCTAACTTGGTAGGGTGATAGAGTGAGGTGCCACAATATCATGTGTTGCTTTGAGCTGTATTATTTGCATATTCATGAATTTCAATTAGCTTATTTGCAATGCAATTTAGGTTAACCTTAAAAAAAATGCTCTGCAGGCTAAACGCTATACCTGATTCATTTGAAACCTGGTAGGGTGACAGACTGAGGTGCCAAGATGTTGTGTGATGCTTTTCATTGCATTATTTGCATAATCATGACATTTAATGAGCTAATTTGCATATTTTGATATATTTTGGATACTCATGTGTTTTAAAAAAATGATGACACTTGCAGAATTGTCTCTCTAAATACACTTTGTATTGAAGAGTAGTTGTGGTACCAGCTGTGCTGTTTACATGAAAAGCAAAACAGGGATGACTATCCACAGCTGTCTGCTATGAACTTACCCTTGCAAAGATTATAATGTACATGTATGTTATTTTTCACCTGCTCTTGTTAAATCTGTGTTTGTTTTTGTTTTTCAGAATGCAACATAGATCCAGATGTTGATGATGATCCTGACAACGAAGTGAACAGGCCCGATGATGCTGTTTTGATGGATGAGATGTCAGACAAAGAAAATGAAGGTGTGAATGAATTACTTTGTTATATCCTTTGTTAGGCCTCCGTTACGAAGTAGCCGGAGGCATTATGTTTTCGGGTTGTCCGTCCGTCCGTCCGTCCGTCCCGTTCTCGTGATCGCGTTATCTGAAGAACCGATTGATGGATTCCTGCCAAACTTTGGTCATGTATGTATCTTGCAGAGCCGATGGACTGATAAGATTTTGGGGTCACAAGGTCAAAGGTCAAAGGTCACAGGGCTCATTATGTATGAAAAACAGCTCGTGATCGCGTTATCTCAAGAACCGATTGATGGATTCCTGCCAAACTTAGGTCATGTATGTATCTTGCAGAGCCAATGAACTGAGTAGATTTATGGGTCATGAGGTCAAAGGTCAAATGTCATGGGCTCATTATGTATGCAAAAACAGCTTTATCATTAGAACTGACAGATGGATTACTATTTAATTCAGGACATCTTGCAGAGCCAATGAACTGAGTAGATTTTAGGGTCATGAGGTCAAAGATCAAAGGGTCATATATGTATATGAGAAATTGCTTGTAATCACGATATTCTGAGAACCTGTTAATGGATTACAATGAAATTCGAATTTGAAAAATTTCTTCTGTTTTGGTTTGTAAACTTGCTCTATGACGGAGGCATCATTTTCGAATGCGCGCAGTCGAAGTTCCATCTAGTTTATCCTTACTTTGATTATTCCAGATGCCCTCAACAGGTGATTATCCTTGTGTCACTATTTGAATTTTAGCATTCGCTTAGTTTGAATTCTGGCTAAATGGCACTCCTAATGCAGACAGCTTTAAATGAAGAACTAGCTAAAAGTAATGTAAATTGTAACTTTAAAAAAAAATCAAAATATAACCATTCCACTCTTCTCTCAGCTACCATCTTCTGCATTTGGTTAAGTTTTTTAAAATCTGTCATTGAACCTGAAACATTAATTGTGTTTCCCTACTTATTTGTCTAATTCACTATTAAAGGTATGAGCATGCCGCAGCAAAGCAGAAAGAAGAGTGACCAAGTTGCAAACAAGGAAAGTGACCGTGGTGCCAGCAGAAAGAAAAGGAGTATCAGACAATCTTGGACAGCTGAAGAAAAACAAGCAATACACAGACACTTTAAAGAAGAACTACGCTCACGCCAACTGCCCGGTAAAGAAAAATAATGAAGTACTGCAAGATGGATGCAGACCTGAAGGGTCGTACTAAAAGGTGGACAACAGTCAAAGATTTCATTAGAAACCAAATTAGAAAGACAAATCCACTGGATTTTTAGTGAATTTTCAACCTGTTATGAGTGAAATTAATCATGTTCATCACACTCCGCAATTTTGGATGAAATCTTTTCAGGTACTGACATGCGTAAAATGTGGTTGCTTCTTATTCATATAACCCACTTACTGGTTTCCTTGATGAAGGGCTGTGCTTTGGAAGAGGTGCACCTTTATATAGGTTAACAGTTAACTCCATGGCCAGGAAGCATACTGTGTGTAAAGCAGTGTATGGTTCTGCAAGTCAAATGGGAACTTAATAGGAAAAACTTAATTACCTGCCCAGTTGGTCAGGGCCAGGGAGTAGACTTGTGTCTAACAGTATGTATACTGTATAGAAGATTGTAAGGCAAATGGGAACTTTTGTGCTAAAGTTGTTTGATAAGCCCCAGTTTGCCAGGTTAACGTTTTGCAGTTTAAATGATGACTTACAGGTCAATTTTATCAGCTCCCATATCACCAGATGGTCAACGTCAGTGAGCATCACATGTGTAACAATGTGCATAAAGGTTTACAGGTCAAACTCCAACTTTGCTCACTTCCCCTAGATTAGGTTCATGGTTGATAGGACTCGTGATAGGACTAGATGTATAATGTTTTCCATATCAACTGGGAATTAAGAGCCAACTGTGATCAGGTCCTCAGTTGGCTTAGACCATGACAAGGAAGCATCCACATGTGTACACTATGTAAAATAAAGTTTGCAGGTCAAATAGGGACTTTAGGCCAACTTTGCTTGGCTCCCCAGTTAAATAGGCCAGTATGTAATGTTTTGCAATCAACTAGTGACTTATGGGCAATTTTGATCAGGTCCTCAGTTGGCTTGGGTCCGATTACCAGGAAGCATCCGCATGTGTACATTGTGTGAAAGTTAAGTTTGTAGGTCAAATGGGCACTTTTGGTCAACTTTACTTGGCTCACCAGTTGATCAGGGCCATGATGACTCGTCAAAGGACCGCTATGTATAATGTTTGGATTTAAGAGCCAACTGTGATGATCGAGGTCCTCAGTTGGCTAGTTCCAGCTGATGAGGAAGCATCCACATTGTGTAAACTAAAGTTTGCACGTCAAATGGGGACTTATGGCTAACTTGACTCGTCAAAGGCCCGCTACTTGCAAAATTTAGATTTTTAAGTACATTGCAGATCAAATGGGACATAGCTACCACCTTTGATCCTCAATTAGTCAAGGCCAGGTGAAGTCCCATGAAATTGAAAATTGTGTAAAAAGTAACATGTCTAATTTTGATTTATGAGACAACTTGGTTAGCAGTTGGGTTTTGACTGTTGGTCAATTACCATGGACCTTTGGCCTTTATTAGACTTATAAATATCTCACCACTCTTGTCCAATTTCATCTAAGTTTGGACCCTTTTTTTCAAAAAAATCATCAAAAAGTAGACCATTTTGCCCCTTTTGTGAAATTTAATCAGGTCCTCGCACTCAGCTATTGGTAGGGCCAGATAACCATTAAAGCATAATCATGTGTTCAATGTGTTTCTATTAAGTTATGTCTGCAGATCAAATGGGACTTTGTACCATCTATGATCAGATCCCCAGTTAGTCAAGGCCAAATTGTGAATAAAGTTTTACAGATCAAATGTGGACTCAAAGCTTGCCAGCTTCGATAATTTTCCAGTTGCAGTCAATTATCAGGGAGCATTGACCAATGTGTAACAGTTTTATAAAGATTTGCAGGTAAGTGGGGTATATTTCTGCGACAAAACTATGATCAGCTTCTGAGCCAAGAACATTGTTTATTTAAGGATGCACTCAGCAACATGCTTTATGCAGTATAGTTCATCTCGTATGTAACTCAAAACTATTGATGGGAAGTGTATAAGGTATACATTTTCTGGCTGAAAATGACCTGTTAAATCCATTGAACACATACAATTTGGACAACAATTTATCATTTTTTTTACCCATTTTTTTCGACCACCATAAATAAATATCCTTGCAACAAAAATTATTTTCCTAGTGTCCAAAATATAACTCACAATGTACCAAAATATAA